TAAATAAATAAAAATATTACCTGGATCTTAATACATTATGAATCATTTAGAGTCACCTCAGCAACAGAAGCAGCTTATAAATTGATTAAAGAAATACATAAGTATCTTAATATAATCTCAATAGCTTGTTTCTGTATTTAGACTCAGCCATTTAATTTAATCTGTTAAACTAGAAAGATAGGATCAATTACACAAGGATAATAATGATTTAGTATATTTTGCTAAACGTTATTTTAACATTGCTACTTTCTTTCCTTCTTGGAAACCCCTTCAGTTTATAAAATGATTGGGTTTTTTTTACTTTTTGTGGATTAAGATTTCATGCAGGACTTTTAAACGTTTTAATTGACTACAAGCCAATGCACTCTGTTCTTCTAATTGTTATGAACTTAACAAATTTGTCTATACCAATTCCATGTATGAAACAGCTCTGCTGACATGTATCACATTATCCAGGAACAGATGTTCATCTAATCCAAAACTGAAATCAAAGTTTAACACAGACATAAGAAATATCAATTACTATTCATCAGCTTTCCTCAATGACAGAGCTATCAGAAGTGCCGTTTAACAAATATTACAGTTAGCTGTATTAAACAGAACAAGGTCTCTGGCTTCAATTTAAATCCCACTCACCTTATTATCCATTTTTAAAAATTTTCCACTGAATAAATGAAAACAAATTTACAAGAAAAGTTCTAAAAGTGATCATGACTTCTTTGGAGATACAGGATAAGAATTCTTCTCCTTTCCTCCAAAAAGGAGACAAAATTTCTCTTCCAAAATTACTACGTATATGTTTGCTTGAAAATTCATGGCATAAGTAGAACAATACAGCAAGATTCATGCAACTGCAGTCCCTTCAGATATGCTATGACATTTCTTCATGTCTATCAATTCTTTCCTTTCTATTTATTTCTTTTTCAGCTTCCCTGTTTCTGAAGCACAGCAGCTACAAAAAGGTTGCAGATGTCAACTGACACTACTTTGTAATGCCAGATGTGGCTCTTCACCTGCCTAATCATGTTTTAGATAGAACAGAAGTTCCCAACCTTTCATTTTTGTGGGCTACTACTTCATCTTCAAAAGGCTACTACTTCACATCACTCTGGGATCTGTCTGCAAGCACACAAAACATGTCATTTCCCCCCTTAATATGAAAGAGAAACTAGTGTAACTTTCTACTGGCAATTGAAATAAGATATGTTGTTTGTAGACTTTATAAGACTGTATTATTCTACCAATAAAAAAAGAAACAAAAATAATAACTGTAAAAAACAAATTTGGTTTATTAAACTGCAACTTGTGTTGGGTGCATTTTCCTTACGCAGGACAAATCTCAGTTTTCAACCTTTTAATAATAACTTTAAAAGAGGAAAAAAACCTAGTTATAAACATTTTTTTCAGCAAAAACAACATGCACATCAATATAGTACAATAGTAAGTAAACTTGTAAATTTTGCATTTTGGCAAAATGCAGCAGATGCCATACCAATTTGGCTTTCTGATACTACACACTGGGCAAACACCAACTCTTTCATGGCACTTTAAATACTGCAGTTTGTCTCAAAAATGGCCTATATTTTCCCTTGGGTAAGCACCATTTTTAATTAAGTCATCCAGCTGTGCACGCAGTTAGTAAGAGGATCAGCGAACACAGAAAATTCAACACTTCCTATTCTATTTCAAAGAGTCAAAATTAGACGTTCCTCAGTCTAAACTCTGTAAATGAGGAGGAGGAGTGAAAATGTACTGGGGATAAATTTTGGTGCTGTACATGCACAGAATGATAAGCCCAGATTCTGGCAGCAATTAGCCTACCATTAAATTATTCTTTATTAAATTTATAAACCACCACATCTCAATAACTCTTGATGTTTAACAAAATTAAAACATAATTACATCAACACTATGGTACAAATAAAAATATCACAACAGCAACTACTACTGGTCACACCTCAATTCACCCCAAAAGCCCACTGGAACAATTATGTTTTGATCTGGAAGGCTACTATAGATGGAGTCAGCTTCACTTCCAAAAGGAGGTTGTTCTAAGGAATCACCACTATTGTTGAAAACTAATGCTTCCTGGCCTTAACCCCACTCATCTCTTGGGATAAGCATTCCAGACAGGACAACTATGGTTGCAGAAAGTAGCCCTGAAGATACTTAGGTGCCAAGCCATAAAGAAACCAGCAATTTGAATTGGACCAACAAATCTAGTGAAAACCAATGGAGGCCTGCAATATTGATTTTCTATGATCCTGACAACATCTGCCAAATAGCATACCAGTCACTGCAATTTGAAGCAAATGCAGTTTCTGAGTAGTCTTCAGAGGCAGTCCCACTGCAGTGCAGTAGCCCAAATGAGTGGTGATGGGGACATAAATCACTGCAGCTAGGTCCTGCTACAAATGTGGCTGAAACTGAAGCTGGGCAAAAACCCTCCTGGCCATTCCCTTTATATGCCCATTCACCAATAGCTATGAGTTCAGAAGAATATCCTGTCACAGACCTATTCCCATATCAAGAGGTACCACCAGAACAGATAGAGAACCATAATGGACATGCAGTGGCCACTCTATTTTGCTTGGGTAGCTTTAGCCTGTTTTGTCCCATTCAGATCTCAGTAGCTTCCAGGCACCAAGAAAAGACCTCTACAGCACCCTTCCAGGTGGTGAAACATGATTAAGTATAATCAGCAAACTAATAATAACTCTTCCATCTTCCAGTGGCTTCATGTAAATGTCTCTCCTGATGTAAAAGCAGAGAAGAGAAAACTGAACCCTGAGATATCCCACATGGGATAACTTCTGCTTCCACCACTACCACCAAGTGGAATCAATGGCTCAGGAAAGAGCAGTAACATTGTAAACAATGCCAATAATCCCCAACCCTTGTAGACAGAAGGAAGGCTGCTGAGAGGTCTAACAAGACTAGGAGGGGTGCACTGCCATTTTGGTTCCTATTAGAGTACTTTGCAACTGCATCCCCTCCACCCATTCAACAATCTTGCCCCAAAAGGAAAAGCAGGACACTTGATGACAGTTATCAAAATTAGCGGGATCTAAGGACAACCTCTTAAGGAGGGAGCTTATCATAGCCTCTTTAAGACTGCGGCAACAACCTCCCTCCTGAAGCAAATTTTTGACAAATTCTTGGATCCAGCCCATCTCTCTCTCTCTCTCTCTCTCTCTCACACACATACACACACACATTTCCATGAAGGAGCAGAGCATGAATTGAGCCCACAAGTGGCAGAAGTCATGCTGGAGAACACCCTATCCACTTCATCAGAGTCAACAGGCCAAAAAGAGTCCAGATCCAGACACTGCCCATATAATGTCAAAACCTCAGCAAATCTGAGCAACTTTATAGGCAAAATGGACATAATGACCAAGAGTGAGATATTCCACTCATTCTTCATTTATTTAGAAGAGTACATTCTCTTTACTCTTCTAAATAAGATCATTGGCTGATAACCTTTTCCAATAAGGAAGAAGAAGCTTCACCTTCCACTAGCATGTGCTTGTGCCCATACTCAGTCAGAATCACTTTTGTTAATGCTTATTTGGCTCCTCATGTTAGTAAAAACAGCTGGAGCTTGCTGGAGCTTCTAATCTAATTAAAAAGAAAAAGCTTATTGTAAGATGGAAACATAGCTTACAATTCTGATTTTAGAAGGGTAGAACAAATTAAGATCCTATATTTGGACATCATCGAGAGCTTTCCATTTTTGGTAAGTTGAACAAGGCAAAGTATAAAATAGGTGTACTAGCACACAATTTACCTAAGAAAAGCCAGAATATATCAACACCCAGAACTTCCTAGAATATTATTAGATCTCTGGTGTAACTGGAAACAATTTATATAAGTGTGCCACAAGTTATAATCCACTTTAGAGTATAGAGGACTTTGAAAAAGTCCCTGATGCCTTTAAGGGTTGCATAGAGAAACTCACTGGCCTGAATTTTGTTCTATGGTTATAAAGTCTTTCTATAGCTCAAATGGGAATAAAAAACTAGTCAAGCATGACAATATTCACAACATAGCAAGAATATTCCAGCCTCCTTTGTCTATTCAGTATGAAATGTCACCATTTTTCCTTATAGGTTATATTTTTTAAAAATGCAAGCATGTTTAATATATTTTGTCTTTCAATGTGGCATACAAACATAAGCACACAGTTCCAGGTTTAAAATAAAACAGTATACAGGTATGATTTCTCCTGCCTCATTCTCTTGAAACTACACATGAAAATCATGTTCTACTTAAAGGGAAAACACAACACAGAAAACCAGCTATGATTAACTGCTTCTATGCTAGATACTAGAACCTCTGGATTCAAGTAGTTCTCCACTTCTTTCTTAAACCTCATATCTAGGTTACATTGTTAATTCTCCCCTTCCTGTAAACAATTTTCCATACAATACTATTTGCAGCCATCTGAAGGAATTCCACTGGGTTGTATCCAAATCTGTTTGTCCAACAACATGACATATATCAATAGAATAGAGTTGCCCTTCTCTCAAGTATCATGCCCAATCTGTTCTTGAACATTGGGGGAGGGGGGGAATTGAAGAGAAGATGAAAATGAAAACTCTGCTATGACAGCAAAAACATACATGTATAAGGCTGTATTATGCCTTGTTTAGTAATTTGTACAGCAACATTAGAACAATCTATTAGAAGTACTCCTATATCAACATTCTACTTTTTACTGCATTCTTACCCAATTATTTACTATTAAAAAGTTTCATAAAATTCTTCAAGGACTGAACATCAATTATTTTTAAAAAGACAAAGCATAATTGAAAATAATATTTTACTTTAAGGTCCAAATATCTTGTTATTGCTTTTGCATTACTCATACTATGAAATGATTATTTTGGAGCTACTCCTAATGGAAACATTATTCATTTCAGAAAATAATGTTCTTGGTCATGCATAACAGAATCTAGTTTTCCCCACAGCTGAACTATTTATTTAAACAGACTAACCTGAGCCTCCTTTGGCCAGATACTTGTCCCTTGCATAAATGACGGAATCCAGCATAGACTCAAAGAGAAGGAAATAGCCCTGCAAATTGAGAAAAAGAAAAGAAAAATAAAAGGGATGGTGTAAAATTATACACCAGTTTTAGGGAGCTCTGCAGTAGCATATATAAACTTTGTTTTTGCAAATACATATCCTGAAGAATAGTCCAGCAGCTCTTTTATTCTTTACTATAAGTACTGCCATTAATTCCCTGATATAACAATTTCTTTCACCAAGCATTTCACAATTCTTATACTGCATCCTAGAAGAGGAGGCCAGAGATTTAACTTTAACTGATTGGTAGTATCAGTGCATTCAACATGTGGCTAATGAAATCTCTGAAAAGCATCCCTCTTTTTGTACATAAATAATAATAAAGGGTTTCACAAAATCTCCTTCAGTGCTCAAATCTAGCATGGGCAAGGGACAACTACAAATGTCTCACAAGCCAAAATGACAACTCAACCAGTTCCTGCCACAAAGCCACCAGAGAGTGGATCACAGAGTGCTTTAGACTGAGGGGGTTGTGGTAGCTAAATCTCCCCCACTTAAAGATATGTTTGATAGAGAAGAGGGCTGACCCCTTATCATGGAAAGGCTCCCACTGGAAACTATAGAGAATCTCAACAAACTTTGCAGGTATGGAGGCATGTATATAATATGTAAAGAAAGACCCAAGATGGAATAGAAACAATAGCTTTATATTAAGAAGCATACCCTCCTCTCAGGCCATATACATGCTCTTGTTCCCAGCCCACTCCCATCCCCTTGGCATGGATGCAAAGAAGAAACTGTAAATTTGGCTTCTGTTTTAGAATAACAGCAATTCAGTGTGTCATCTGAATCTTAAATTAATCTACTTACGGCTTAAATAGCTTTATAAACTGTATTTTAACTACAAATCAGAGTTTAAGTTTAATCAGAGTTTCCCTGGATTAAATCTGGGTTAATGTATAAAGGAAATTAAAGCTTCTGAATTCCTCCTTAGTACTGTGTTGGAAAGCAAAGGGGGGCTTGGACTAGGCTCCTCTTGAAATGCTGAACACCAGGTCATAATTCTACCTAAAAGGCCAGTTGTGCCTAGCTGGAAAGGTAGGTCTGAATCTCAACATATGCAAAAGGGTGGAAAATTTATTCTCTAAAGAAAGGAACAGAGCAACTAGAAAGAGGTAATTTTTCTACTGATGAGGTCCAACTTTATTTAGGACTGAGGGTAAAATAAGCAAGCTTAAGATAGCAATTTTATCTTGAGGAAAAAGCAGCCAGAACAGCTTGATCCAGAATGTGCTTGTGATGGAAAGCTTTCATCAGTTTCCTACTGAACAGCTCTCTCTATCTAGCCGCTGTTTGCACAAACAACAGCCCTAGGGACAAACAGCAAGCAGGTTTTTTTATAGCAGGACATATGTATATTTGCAACCAACAGTACCTTTGCATCTCCATGGAGCATTTCTTTCTGCACAAGGAGAGACCCAAGATGTCTGCTGTTCCTCCTTCTGCACTGTACTCCCCTCCCCCCCCACATGTACATGAAGGCTGTTCTGAAAATCAAGGAATCTTCCACAAAAATGTGTGACATAGCATAGAAAGGTATAATGAAAATTGGGTATTATACCCCAAGGAAGGAGAAATGCTTTCTGCTAAGACAAAGCCATCACTGGAAGCAACCAATTATTGCACTAATATATTATTACCTTTCTCAGTCATCCTAAAAAAGCAGACCCCCAATAAAATAACTGTGGTATTTCATAGATCTCGCTGTTCTCCTCCTGATATTTTCCATGCTAATTCTGCAGTTTTTACCTCAACCTTCCAAACTCTCCTATGCAATATCACATCCCTGTAAGCTACTAAAGGGTTGTCCCTCGTATTGAATCAAGTCATTCATTATCAGTCTCAAAATGCTTTGCTCTATGTGTGGCGCTAATCTCTGGTGTAATTTAGAATGTAATTTCACAGGCTGCTGCCTCACCTGTAGGGGTGCCATCTGGAAAGAGAATTATACCTGACATGTTTTGCCTATGATGCTTGGAGACTCTCCTACTTCTACACTGACAAGGTTCAGATTTTAAAAATAAGAATAAAAACCTTGCATTATTAATTCAAAATTAATTAAAGCAAAGTGTTCTGTACTGCACACATTTGTGAGGAGAATGCTGATGATTTCATGTAGCAGCCAGTTGAAGACATACAAATGACATGTTTTTTCTTAGATGAACGAAGAAAGGATGTTTCATTATTGCATACTGTAAGAAGTGTTTCAACCTTTACGGAAGTACTTTTATTATTTACAACAAATAGCAGAGTAAAAGGTATAAGGGCTTTGTATACTTGTATAGCTAGGTGACAGAAGCATTTCTGTATATCAAGATTCAGAGAAACAGAAATAAGCAATTAGAATAAGACCCTGGCTGCTGAACAAAAATGCTCCTGCATTCAATTTTATCTTTAGATAACAAAAAAAGCTCTCTGTTTAGTTCAACTCATTTCTAACTACCCTTCATTCCTTCAAAACACTTCCTTTGCTATTTTGTTATTACATTTTATATTGTCTTATATATTTTGATGTCATGCTGCCTTTGAAATTTATGCCATGTAAAAGACTATTTAAGAATGTTCCAAGACCATTAACCTTAGTTTTCTGAACCTTTCTTTTTTGTCCATTTTCTATTTTCTAATTACTCTGTTCATTATCCTTCCTGGGACTCATTCCCTCACACAGCACACACATGCTCCAATGTGATTTCTTCAGTGACTCCACTGATCACAAGAGATGTGTTCTGTGTCTTTCCACACCACATATTTCCCTGTGATTCCTGCACATTGTCTATCAGGACTGGGGAAATATCAGTCCTGGCCTACATCTGTCAAGCATCCCTTCATTTGCTACTTTTCCCCCATCAATTTATCACCTAGACTTGATAAAAGAAACACATGGCAACACACATGATCTGTTACTGCTGTTGATATATTTATTAGCTATAATGCTTCTAAGCCAAGGGCACAGAACAAAATACAGATGGTCACTGTTGAAAATTCCTCACCCAACATTTGGCTGAGGAACAACAGGGAGGCTGGAACCAGAACTACTATACACTATCACTACCCACTGATAAGCCTGAGATGGGATGGGGGGAGGAGGTAGCTAAAAAACTCACCTTCCTCAAAGCAGCCTCAAACCGAGTACTACTCCTGATCTATTGCCAGTTCTACAACCTCCTGATAATTGGTTATAGGAATACTGAGAAGAACAGCTTAATCATAGAAATGGTTTCTCTGTCATAGCTCTGCAAATTGCTCTGGATATGAAGCAACAGAGAATGCTGCTGGTCAGTGTTTTGCCTCTTTACAGTGTATAGATATCTATGTACATGTATGTGCGCCTACACATGCATGTGTGTCTATATGTGTGCAAGGAAATTATCCTTATGCTTTAGGAGAAAATTCTGCCCATGGCTCTAACGTGCTCTGCTATCTGCACTAATTCCTTCTTGTAGGAACATTTAAAGCATCAAGACGTGAAGAAAAGTACGCCCAAGTGCCTCTTCCCAAGCGTATGCACTGAATTGTCTCCCTTTATAAATAAAACGAATATTCTGAAAGCCTAGCACCAGCATGTTGCACAGCTGATTTCATTTCACAGCTTACTGTATGTAAAATTACTCTAATTACTGTTAAACATAATTTCCTCTTAAAATTCTATACCTCACAGGAACAGAAGTACAATTCTGTCTGGATATGAAGCCTGCTCACTTGGCATTTAAATATATAGTACATCCTGCCAGCACATCAGTACACATCAGCAATTTTTTCCAGCTTCTAGCTACATACAAGTAAATTCAAATACGTGCATGCATGCATTCTTCTGGTATCTTCTAAACGCTATTTTATGGCTATGATAAATTATGTTGAAATACTAGTCTAAAAGATTTCAAACAGATGCCATTATATCATAACTGGGACAAATTATTTCCTGTCATTTTAGAACAAGAATGTAATAGTTATAATAATTAAGAACATGACCATTTGCCGCATAATATTTTGGAGCCACTGCCACATTGGAAATTATGGATCCGTATTTATGCAAAGTGCATTTCTATTCTTACCATCCATTCAGATATGATAACATCTACTTTTTCAACAGGTATATCCACTTCTTCAATTCTTCCTTTGATCAAGCAAATACTATCTTCAAGTCCATTGAGTCTGCAAGGCAAAGGCAAGGGCATGTTATAATGTTATATGTTTTCTAATTAGGTTTTACCTTAAAGCGCTCCAGCATTACAGTACTATTAATAAGTACTTGTAATAACAGAGAGCTGTTCCACAAATGTTATTTGCTCATACGGCAACACAGTCTGTACTCAAGAATTGCAAACGTCATTACTTACTACAAAAATGCAAAGTTTTCAGAAAATGATGATCATTGTTTTGAAGTTATCACACTTGCATAGGAATCCCCTGTATGATTTTAAGTGAGATGCTATGGAAAGCAGCCCTGAAGAACTTGGAATGTTTCACATCTGAGACATTAGGAGAAGTCTTCAGTGATACTGCCTTAGATATATATGGCCATGTCAAGAGTGCAATACGACACAGTAAACAGGAAGTTTAAGTTCTCAGAACTTAATTAGGGACAAGCAAAACAGGAGGAATAACCATCCAAAAGGATAATGATGACAATGGAGGACCCCTTCTGACCTAACTCTATTTTTGTGCCAAGGGGACAGTGAGATCTAGATAGCAATGAATTCAAAGCTGGTCTGCGCCCCTAAGAATTTTCATCAGTTTTTTTGGTATGCCAGTCAGTAGTTGGCATAGCTAATTTCCCTCTCCTGTTCTCAATAGGATGGATGTTTTAGACTGATCTATGGGAATCCACAAACAGGCCCTCACCCCCACCTCTTACCAACATAGGCTAGCGGGATTTTGGGTTCAGCAGAGAATCAGCCACTTCATTTTCAAAAGTTTGCTTAGGATCATATGCTTCTGCTTTTCAGCTAAGACTTTGCTGGTATTAACACAGGGACAAGACTTCCTATGAAACTGCTAGCATTTCTTCCAGATAGCTACAGTGTTTTTAGCCTTCTGAGTCTCAAGGATGCTTTTTCAATAGTTTAGAAAAGTAGCTATTGCTTCCATAAGCACTGCAACATTAATGGAGAGTTGTTGACTGAGATGTGTAATCATTTATTAATATAACACAGCTTACTCTTCTCCAAGACACAAGACACACTTGAAGAAGCACAATTGTCACTTGAAGATGCAAGTCTATATTCAGAAAGGAAACACGGTGTAGAAAATGTAAGCTACTTATGCAAACGTCAAGGAAAAATGGGAAAGCAAATAGGTTGGTGTCTGGAAATGTTAGGGGTTGCAAAGCATTCAAAAAGGGCACTTTGCATGGTCTGTTAGTATCAGCACCCCTCCACAAAGCATTAAAGTAGCCACATATTTTGGAATGCTTATGTGGCTACTTCAAAGGTTGTCCCCAGTTGTCTAGGCATGCATGTGTTTGACCAGATAAAATCTCTAATTGGAATGCCAGAGAAGTGAAGGACTATGTAAGAATCATTATATAAAAACAGCTAGGGAAAAACCTTTGAAGCAGCTATATAAGCATTCCAAAGGCTGCTTTAATGCTTTGAAGAGACTAACACTAATTTGCATTAATGTCTTTTGCAAAGCACCTGTTTACCTGTTTCAAATGTTTTGTACAGCCTCAATAAGTATTAACATCTCTTATTTGATTTTTCACATCCCATCAGTTAGAAGCTGATTAACAGATGATCTTGAAATATACTCATATGTTGCAAATTGTCTTCTTTGCTGTTGTTGTTGTTGTTCAGTCGTTAAGTCGTGTCCGACTTTCGTGACCCCATGAACCATATTGCGCCAGGCCTTCCTGTCATTCACTGCCTCCCTGAGTTTGCTCAATTTCATGCTCATTGCTTCAGTGATGCTATCTAACCATCTCATCCTCTGCCGTCCTCTTCTCCTTTTGCCTTCCATCTTTCCCAGCATCAGGGTCTTTTCCAAAGAGTCCTCTCTTTGCATTAGGTGACCAAAGTATCTGAGCTTGAGCTTCATTATCAATCCTTCCAATGAGCTGTTCTTTGCTGTTACAGTTATGTTAAAGATGAATTACATATTAATTCAAGTTTTAACTACATGATCAGAGACAAATAGAAGAAGTCTGTTTTGGTGGCTTTACTCAAATATTCACAATTTCTAAATCTAGAGGAATTCACCTAAGTGTTGTGCAAGCCTTTTATAAAAGAATTACATTCAGATACTAAACCTGACAAAATGATTTTTAACCTGTTGATAAATGGAAATTTTGAGCATGAAACTGAGCAAACTCAGGGAGGCAGTGAAGGACAGGAAGGCCTAGTGCAATAT